CAGCAGTGGCCCAGCGTAGGCGTAGTTGTCGTGCGCATCGCGATGGCCCAACACGGCCCAAGGCTGGGAGGCCCGTGCGCAATGGCTTTGTAGAAGAGCCCCTGTGCTTTTAGATAATAAGATCACTACTTTGTGCATTATTCCTATCGTCAGTAATCTTGCAACTAAACCCTCAGATGTTTTCACCTTTACCACGGGGAGGTCCCTGGGGATCCCCGCATGCGCCGGCGCGGCGGCCGATGGCATAAGGCGGTTACGCCAGGCAACCTAAGCGTGCTACAACGGGAGTAAGGGGCCAACCATCATCTACAGCTAAACATGCAAGGATGGGTGGCGGTTAGGGACTCGAAGGTGCACTATCATGGGCTACAGCGGTGAGTGGCTATCCACAGCGGCGCACGATAGTTCCGGTGAGCCTACGCCCTTACAAAAAGGTAGAGATGGCAGAGAAACATCAATAGCTAACCGTGGTGTATGCTCTACTGACAGTTGAAGCAGGGGAGCGCTGTGACGGTCTGGCCATGTGCGAGCCACCGAGGTGGCGGTGCTCCGGGATGGACACCCATACGTCACCACGTCACCAACAAGTTCCCTGACCAAAATAGCACGACTACCGGATGGTGGGAGTCAAAGCGAGTTCAGGGTTATGAGCAATTGAAATGTTACCACTCCTACGGGCCTTACCCCCAACCCTCTGGTCACGGTGGCGCACATGACCGGCGGTGAGCAAAATCTGAAATTGGCCGCGGCCAGACCACCACTAGACCCAATGAGAGTGGGGTGTCCAGCTAACTTCCTCTGGTTCTCACTGATGCGAGTAATTGAGCTGGGAAGCTTTGAGTTGATGATTATGAAGGGAAGAGGGCGGCGCATTGCCCCAGCTACATCACGCGACATGGCCCCAATTAGAGGTGACCCAGCCATGACCCGACAGGGTACGACAACGCGAGGACATGACCACACGAGCAAGGCTAGGAGGTGCGTCGGGTAGTGCTAGATGGAGCCAAGAGGTGTGCCAGCGCACGAAGCACTTGAATACGGTAGCCAGGCCCGAGCGGCTCACCGACGTCGACTAGCGAGATAGGGCAAAGTAGGGAGGCATCACCGTCACCCTGAAGCTGAGGTCGGTTGACCCAGATGTGGTGAGCGGCAACACAGACTCGCGGTAGGTGAATATAGGGCAGGGCGACTACCACGTAGCCATGGCAACAACAGCCCAGGCCTCGGCCCGACCCCGTGCGCGGATCAACGGTCAAAATGGTGCGCACACTTGGCGACAGTGGGGGCACCCGACAACAGCATCATGACGACGCCTTGCCATGTGACTGCGTGGCGGCTGCATTGGCGTAGCGCAGTGGCAGCCCTCCGGCACGGCGCAGCGGTGCACGCAGCAGCGCGGCAGCGAGGTGGGGCAGCAGCACGATGGCTAGCAGTTGTAGGGCGATGACAGCAGCCTGTTGGGCCAGCCATGGCCAACCCACAACCATACAGGCCGACCGGGCATAGGCACCGTGGTGCACGGAATGTGGCCAGCCGCGCGACACCAAGCGGCCGCGCGAGGTGACCGTGCACACAGGCCAGGCACATGACGTGCACAAATTTTAAAGTGCGTCTAAAACTAACCTAACACAGTTGAAGCTAAGCTACCTCAACCATGCTAACGATGGTACATCAGTCTACCATAAGGAGCAAAAACACAACATTGACCTTTAGCTAGATTTTCCAGAATTAATTCACCAACATGGCATTGTCACACTATTTTTAAACTTAAAATTTCTTCCAAGTCTTGAGTTGAATTTGACTTCAAGTTCCATTTCCAAGCCATTAGAAATACTAGCTAGTCATATGATTTTTCTACAGCAAGAGTTGCATTGTCACCTACAAAGTCTATGCTTCAAACCTTATTTAGGTGTCACACACATGTTCTATAATACTTTTGCTCAATAAAAATTGATCTTCCACCCTACTTGACATAACATGGGTTATCGAATAAATTTCCATTTAACATTTTTATTGGGCATTTTAGGCTACAAGAAATTTATCAACACCTTCAATCACATGCATTATTACATAAACACGATGCTCATGACACGATTTAGTAGTTTATTTAGGGTATAACACCGAGGGTGTTACAAAGAGCCATCTTGTGGAGTGATGTGCATGTACATCTCATGTGCATTGATCTTTCCCAATATTTGAGTTGGCATAGCAGTGGAAAGATTACCTTAATGAAGCACCGTCACAATATGCCCATACTTGTCAATGGGGAGGATACTCAAGATCTTTCTCACAACATTGGATGGTTGCATTTGAGTGAGTCCAAGCCCATTGACCTCCTCTACAATAATATTCAAGCGTGAATACATTTCATTAGCACTTTCACTAGGAAGCATTTCAAATGAATTAAGCTTCTTCATCACAAGGTGATAGCATTTCTCACGCTCACTCTTGGTTCCCTCATGGAGCGCACAAATGTCTGACCATAGTGAATGGGCGTCTTTGTGGTTCCGCACATGGTTAAAGACATCCTTACAAAGGTCTCTAAAAAGGGTGTTTCTAGCCTTTACATTTCACTTCTCGTAGTGAACCTTATCACCTTGAAGGTTGGCGGGATCCTTCGGTTTTAGGAAGCCTTGTGAGGCGGCTCTACGCACTCCAACATCTAAAGCCTCTAGGTACGCCTCCATGCGAATTTTCTAATAAGGAAAATCATCTCTCTCAAAGACGAGAGGGGGTCCATCCCTATGGGACATCTTGCTCTAGGCGGTTAAGCCTAATTTAAGGAGCATGAGGCTCTGATACCAATTGAAAGGATCAAGATGCCCAAGAGGAGGGTGAATTGGGCTAATTCTAAATTTCTTTCAATAATTAAGCTATACACTTATCCCATTTCACCCCCTTGTGCCTAGAAGTGTTTCTATTATTCTACCGCACAAAAGTTTTACACTCTAGGTTCTAATCCTACTCTAGCATGGCAATTCTAAGAATGTAAAGACATGAATTGAATTGCTCAAATGTAAATGCTCAAAGTAAAGAGAAGGAGAGGAACACGACAATGTGTTTTCGAGGTATTAGAGAGTCGCCACTTCCCACTAGTCCTCGTTGGAGCACCCACGCAAGGGTGTAGCTCTCCCTTGATCCACGTAAGGATCAAGTGCTCTCTATAGGCTGATTCTTTGAAACTCCATCGTGGTGACTCGCCCACAACCGCTCACACCATGACTTGGGTCATCCACAAGCTCCGCCGGATGATCACCAAGTTTCCAATCACCACCGAGCCATCTAGGTGATGGCGATCACCAAGAGTAACAAGCACAAACTCTCACTTGACCAAAACAAGACTAATGAGAAAGGTGGATGCGCACTTGCTACTCCCTATACACTAATGAGGTCCTTAATCTTGGATTATCAAATCTCAATCACCCCACTAGGCTCTTGCTCTCCCTTGCACTCCAAAGGTGTTTCTCAGCTGAACAAATAGGTAAGAGAGGTAAGTTGGACGAGTAGAAGTATATATACTCCCCACTTTAAAACATAACCGTTATTGTCTAACTCAGCAGTTTTTGGGGTGACCGAACACACCAGTCCAAGTGACCGGACTCGTCCGATCAGTACCCAATGGCTACATGGCGTCAGCCTATCAGGGGAGGTTGTTGGAGTGATCTGATGATGGCCAGCTTCCGGTCAACATCCATCGGACGCGTCTGGTCAGGAATTTTCGTCTCTGGACCCTCTCTGATGTTGACCTGATGCTGCAAACTTAGCGTCCGGTCGTTTACTGTTCAGCGTCCGGTCCTCCCTGACAGCGAGGCCCTACTGCTATAGATATGACTAGAGGCGCATCCGGTTCAAATCACTGTGCATCGTTCGGTTGCTCCTCAGCTTCTACTGTGCACGCTGACCACTGATCGAACGCAGCACCTGTGAGTCCGGTCATCACTAAAACAACGTTCGGTCAACATTTGACCCTCCATTCGCTTCAGATTCAAAATTCTTTGTGAATGAGGTTGACTCCAATTGATCTTTGGGCTATTCCTGAGCTACCTAGTGCTAAGTTTGACAAATGTGCACCACACCTAACCCATTAGACTCACCTAGGTCAAGTTACTAGTTCATACCCCCGTTAATAGTACGGCCAAATAAAAAACAAAGTCCTAAGCTACTCTAAGTGTCTCTCCAATGCCAAACGACACTTAGAACTAGTTCGTTCTTAACCTTGTCGTCCATCCTATGAAAACCAAAACGATTTCCATCGATAGGGACATGAAAACCATAATTTCCCAAACAATCATCATTACCATGACCTAACTCAAGTTGCCTCTGCAAAACACACATTAGTCACAGTAATCTCATGTCGTCATTAATCACCGAAACCCAACTAGGGGCCTAGATGCTTTCAATGAGCAAGAAGTTGATGCATAAGGCAATTAAAATGGGAAATGTACTCCATCACTAGGCTAGTTTGTTTAACATGAAGATACTATCTAATGAAATGATTGAACTAGTCTCTATCAAATCTAGACACAACATGCTGACAGAGATCTTCCCAAGAGCACTGATGAAGGTTGATTTCGATAGTTTGCATCCAAAATGCAGCAATGCCCTTGAAATTAATGGTGGCTAACTTGACCCAATTATCAGGAGGGATGGTATACAGATCAAAGTAGGTTTTAGCTTGCTTAATCCACAACTTAGGATTGGAACCATCAAATTTAGGAAACTCATATTGTGGTATAGCATGGTGACAACTAGAAGGCATGACATGATGACAACCATGTGACATAGCATTGCAATTGAAGTATGGCATGTGAAATCCAACATTGGCAGTAGGGGATTTGGGTTCCTCACCTTTGACCGGAGGTGGTTCGAGGGTAATACCGCCCCCCGAACCATCCCTTCGGTGACATGTTGCATCGTCGTGGCCTAATGGCCCTTGCGCCACTTTCGATGAGGACGGGTTCAGATGGGCGAACCCTAGCGACTTGATGTAGACAAATCCCTCACCGAGAATAGGTTTGTTTGGCTGGTGATGCCGACTTCAGAGCATCAACCTGGATGCGGAGGGAATCCAGGCCGCTGCTCAGATCCGCCACCTTGGAGTTGACTTGAGGTCGCCAACGATCGAAGTCATCCTTTGCTGCCTTGAGATCGTCGATGGAGACTTGCACATCATTGATCCGGTGGTTGCCTTCGTTGATCCCCTTCGTTTGCTCCTCAAGCTTGTCCAGGATAAGAGCAAGCTGATCCTCAACCTTCATGGTTACTTGAAGACGGATGCGGTGGGCATGCGCCAGAGCTTCGATTGCCGGCCCAACAGACCTTGGCTCGGACCTATGAATTCACGCGCTGAACACCAAAGTGGATCGTGGAGCCCTGCCGACGGGGATTACAGTTGCAGATCAAGGCGCTCGAAGCAGTGGTGAATTGGGGGCGAATCGGAGGTGGACGAACGTGGAGTGGATGGATCGAAACGAATCCGATACCAAATGTTACGATACTACTATGACTACTATATCATGTATAGTTTAGAACTGGTAATCTAGAGTTACAGACTCCGATGATCAAGGTTGCCGCCGGCCGCCCTCTAGCCGCATCTAGCCAATGTTCTCCGGCAACAACCAAGATGAAAGACAAATTCAACTTCCCCTCTCAGATATATTCATTACAGCTGCGCTGGGCAGCAGTACTTCGGATGCAATCGGGTTTGGTTCCTCAGGTGCGCCATTCTAGGCCGATGACTCTTGGGTTGGGCTTCTTACTTCGCTTCTTCCTTGGGCTCTTGGTAAAGACGGGTATAGGCCTTGCTATCGTAACAGTGTTCAAGTCCAGTTTCCAAAGTCAATTGGTGGTGGAGAAATTCAGCAGATGATAGGATCGAAGAAGTTTAGTTGCATTGCCCTGGATCCATACAGCCAATAAAAGCTTCTGAATTCTGATACTGAAGGGCTGCATTTCAGGCCGGAACATTGCCATCATGTTGTTAATATGGATCATCTGGTAATGAATACACCGACCTTCGACACCTACATTACTAACACAACTCTCTAGGCTCAAGAATGTGCTGTCGAACTCAAATAGTTTTTTTCTCGAACACGCAAGAGAATTGCACATCATTTTATTAAGAGAGAAAAGGAGGAATAGTACAAAGGAGGGAGAAGAACCTCCCTAACATGACCTTTGGCTATGAGACACAAGGCCAAAGAAACTAGTTTAGTATAGGCAAAGCGACAAAGAGCACCAACAGAAACTTAGGAAAAAACAGCCCACAACAAGCGACCCAGCTAGCAGCTCCTGGAGTCCTTTTGCACAAACAGAGGATTGTCTCCAGTAATATTGTGATGCTTGTACCGGCACCATTAAAGACACGCAATCATGTGCTTCCAAATTTCTCAGCCCACCAAGGAAATGAGTGTATTAAGTAAGGCCTTTTTTCATCTCCTTAGGTATGTCCTTTATTGCCTGGTACCACCAACTTGAAAATTTGCTAGTAGAAATCAGACTGATGGAGCTCAACCCCAATCTCTGAAGAATGATAAACCAGGCCTACCTAGCGAAGACGCAAGAGATCAACAAATGTTGGATGGCCTCTCCTGCCTGATAGCAAAGAGGAGACTCTGATGAGAAGACCCTGGATAAGGAGCCATGAGATCAACAAATGTTGGATGGCCTCCCATGTTGATCTCTGGATAATAAGGAGACATGAAAAGACTTTGAGCTTGTTGCAACATTTAATGTTGGATTCTCCTTGATGAGGTTAAGAGCATTAGTGTTTGGCCGTAAAAACATTATGACGACATCATCAGCATAGACAGAGATACGGTACTGCACACGCTCCATATGATTTGAGGATGCAACCTGTAGCAGCACACAGCAACAGCATCTAAAACAATACAGCATATCGAAATATTTTTTAAGGCAAAAACTGTGTCAGAGTTCCCCACAGTACTTCAATTAAAAATAAGAAGAAATGGGCGAGTTACATAATTACAAAGCTTGATACAAACAAGAGGAAATTAACTGATAGCATCTAACCAAAAGCTATATCTTCCTTGAAATGAAGACTGGAGAATACACTGGTTTTTGAAGTTAGAGAACAAAAGACTATGACTTGGTTGTCTTCTTTCAGAGATCTTGTCATTTCGGAGTTTCCACATCTCCCAGCAAAATTTTTGCTGAGCTCTTGTTTGAGCAGTACGGGGTAGCAGGCTTTGGTCTTCGTCCCACTGGATATGAAGTGTTTGCCAGCAGCTCCTTGCAAAATCACATGAAAAGAACAGATGATCTATGTCTTCTTCCATTCTCTGACTGCACATGACGCAAAAAACATCATCTTGCACATTACAGTTCCTGCGTCTGAGCATGCTTTTGGTATCTAGCCTGTCTACCAAGACCAACCAAGCAAAGAACTTGACTCTCGGGATGCATTTCGATTTCCAAATCCAAGAGAAATAGTGATACTACTTTGTAGTATGTAGCTCAAGATGCTTGAAATATCTCTTTGTTTGGTTTCTAATCAAAACACTCAATGACTAGAAGCCTATGTATAATTTTGCTAATTTTCTTCGTTTCCTTTTTTGTTTCGTGATCCCCTTGTACTAGCTTTTAGTTCTTTTAAATAAAATTCAATAAAAGCCAGTAGGGGGCAACCCCTCCTGTTTCCCTTAAAAAAATAGTAGCACTGCATTGCTGTTTTTGTTCGAACAGCAAACAGGTGAAATGTCAGGCGGCCAACTACCTGTCCAACACAACTCCACAAAAGCAATGCGTCCAACGCATCCTCCCAAATGGTGATATAAAATAAAAACCCAGACAATACTAGCTCAAATGAGCACATAATTCTCCTCCAACAGAAAGACTTAAGAAAGAACATTGACTATGAAAATGATGGCATGAGAGAGAATAATCAGACTGTCACCAACAAACTTCTGTTGCCGATTCAAACAGCTGACATTGAAGAAAACAAATCTAGCATCTTGCATGGAATGTCATACAAAAATGAAAGTAAACAGATGTATTCAGATTCATAGCTCAGGTCAGTTAGGCCCTTCAACTTTCAAAAGAAAAATTTTAAAAACACCTTAATTATATCGCATTCCTCTCTCCCTCTCTCTAAGCCGCCAGAGGCTCATACGAGGAATCAACGTGAAGAAATGCATACATATTCCTTGCTTAGGCGTAGAAGTCAGAGTTAGCAGCGTATTCAAGTTTGGCTTCGCGAATTTTCTTTGCCAGACAGTGAGAAGTAAATCAGGACTACATAAGTTCATGACGCATGAGCCCAAACATTATTGGATAGTATCCTTTTTCTTTCTCAAACACACAGTATCATTTCATTAGAAAGAAAGAATAGTAAGGTAGAGGGAACCAATTACCTCAACCCAACACACCCAACTCACCCTCAGAACACACTAACACACGCAAAGGAGAAAGCTATTGACTTGCCACACAAAAAACTGTAGACAACCAGACACCTGAACCCAGAGTTACATGTCCAGGGGCGAACAACCTTAAGAGCAATTCATGGTGCCCCACTGCTCCACCCCAACACCACAGGTAACTCATTTGCCACAGCTTGCAGGACCACATATGATAGCATCTGATTTTTCTTCCAAAATGATGACTCCAATAAACTCTAGGACAATCCTAGCTCAAAGTACTACCTCTGTCTCAAAATAAATCAATTTCTAGAATCACTCAAAGTCAAACTATCTTAGGTTTGACCAACTGTATAGGAAAAGATAATAACATCTATGACACCAAATAAATATATTATGAAAATATATGTCATAATGTATCCAGTGATACTAATTTGACGTCATAAATGTTGGTGCTCTTTCCTGTAAAGTTGGTCAGGCTTAAAATGGTTTGACTTAGGACAACATTTATTTAATTTGAGACGGAGGGAGTAGTGACTAACTTTCAATTTTGCATACTCCCACAGAAAGTCCTAACGAGAACTAATGACTACAGAAGTGCTGACACTGAGCAAGAAAAGGCAGCATGTCACCAACAAACTTCTGTTGCCAATTCGAAGAACTGACTGACCTCTGGCAGATAGCTCAACAGAAATGATGCTACACGAAAAGATGACCAAGGTATTTCATTGAAGAAAACACTTCTACCATATTGCATGGAATGTCCTACAAAAGCAGAAGGAAACACATCAGGTCAGTTAAGAACTTCATCCTTCCGGGAAAAACTTAAATAATTTACTAATTCAATCGCATTCATCTCAAAGTCGCCATGGGTGACTCAGTGAAGAATTACCTACCTATTCCTGGCTTAGGTGTTGAAGTCATTGCAGGAATTCATTTTTTGACTAAATTAACAAAAGCATCTTGGCAGCAAGTGGGCACTAGATTAAGGCTAAATAAGTTTATGACTTTTGAGCCCAAACATAATAAAAGGATGAACCATAGCATATCTCTCATACCACGAAAAATGGCCAGATTCCTCTCTCTAATCATTCTTCCAATGCTCACCATTCTTCCATTCTCATATGCTTCACCCCAGCTGATGCTAAGTACTGGCTCATCCTTATTGGTAGAAGAGTACAGACAAACCTTCCTTGTCTCACCAAATGGTGATTTCTCATGTGGCTTCTATGAAGTTGGAAGGAATGCCTTTTCCTTCTCCATATGGTTCACCAACACCGTTGATAAGACCATTGTGTGGTCTGCAAATCCCAAGTCCCCTGTAAATGGTCGGAGCTCCATGGTTTTGCTGAACCATGATGGCAACTTGGTCCTGATTGATGTCAATGGCACTGTGACATGGGACAGTAAGACAAGCTCTGGCAAGGGCACGACACTTGTCCTTCTCGACATCGGCAACCTTGTCATAAAAAGATGCCAATGGCAAAATTTTGTGGGGAAGTTTCTCTTCACCAACTGACACCTTGCTTCCTTTTCAGCCACTCACTAGAGGAACACGGTTAGTATCTGGTTACAATAGCCTCTATTTTGACAATGACAATGTGCTACGCCTCATGTATGATGGGCCAGATATATCAAGCATCTATTGGCCAAGTGCAGATTACACTGTGTTTCAAAATGGGCGGACAAACTACAATAGCTCCAGAATTGCAGTCCTTGATGCTGAAGGTTATTTCCGGTCAAGTGATTTGCTTAAAGTAAAGTCTTCTGATTGGGGCACTGTAACCAAGAGAAGACTGACAATAGATTATGATGGAAACCTAAGAATGTACAGCTTGAATGCATCAAGTGGGAGTTGGATAGTCACATGGGAGGCTATAGCA